GGTCAATCTGCTTGACCGCTGGAGCTTGAGAAGTACCTGTTTTTGCTGGGGTGGGCGGGTGGGTGGAACATGGTGGAACCTGCATCGTCCCATCGGACATTTGAGCGAGGGTGCCAGAAGAATGCTGCCTTGGGGGGGCAAAATCGATTGATTTTGGAGTCAACTCAATCCTGGGAGCAAGGCTTCATAGAGGACCAATTTCTCCAGACGCCGAATGATTTCTATATAGACTAGATCTATATATAGAACAATATCATACAATATCATAATAAACTATAGGGGTTCAACAGATCTAAATAATTTCACTGAGTCTTTGAAAGCTCTTCTACTTCAACCACGCATGTGACGCGTGTGACGGCTCCAAGCCGCGAAAAACCCACGGGGAAACCGTCGGTGGAAGGTCGGCGTGAACAGTGTGAAGCTGGCCTCTGCTTGGGCTCGGGCACCTGGTGGATACCTCGATCATCGGAATCGGACACCTCGAAGCCATCGAATGTCGATCAATCGGATGTATGTTTCCACCACGGTGTCCCCAACGAAGCGCCACGGTTTTCAGAGGAACATGTGTTGATTGGTGAATGGAAAAACGAATACACACCGTAATTAGTAATTGGTGTTTAATTGTTTTAAAGGTGGATCGTTGGCACGTCAATCAGGCGCTCGTTTTTTCCCTTTGGCACCGTGTTTGGGGGACCGTGATGTTCAACTGTTCAACTGAACCGATGGGAACTTCAGAACTTTGGGACCCATGTCGTTTCAACTCATGTTCATTTTGGGTACCTCTCTTAAACATGGGGAACATGGGACCTTCCTGTCCTGGCCCTTTTTAAGAGAGGTACGGATAGTACACGAGTGGGCCATCGGGTGGTCACCTTGTCGTCACCGTGCAGTTGGTTGGGCTTTGTCTCCATCTCACAGGTGGTCCCCAAGTCACAGGGATGTTTGTTCCAGTTATAATTGATGAATTAATATAAGTTACTATCAATTGAAGCAGGTTTCAAGGACATGTTCCCGGATCCTTTTGTTGGTGGATGCCCCTGCCCCCCATGACTGTCGGTGGAGTTGCGACCGCAGAGCGTGCAAAGGTGGCATTGGACATGGGTGAGACGACGGAATTTGGGCAGGCGAGATGGGCCAATCCCGATAGAAAGTTCAAACAATGCCCCTTGATGTAGACTCTTGATAAATGAAGCCCCCACAGGAAGAGGTTTTTCCATTCAACCAGGAGATTTTTACTAATCAAGAGTCTACATGAATTGACGAATAGTATCCTTGACATTGGCTCCCCCTGGGCTGATCCTCGAAATCCAAACCCAGCAGAACCTGGAAGCCTTTAAACACCGCAGGAGCCTTCGTCCGTGGTCCGCGCTAGGCGTAGCGAACGACCGGTCAACCAGATACTTGTAGGTCCATGTGACCCCCTGGCCAAGTGAGAAGGTTCTGCTCGCCTTTTTGGCCAAGTGACGCGAAAATAGCCCATGAAATTAGGTACAGGTCACTTTGGTCCAAAAACACAGGTCACTTCACTCGAGGAGCCTTTCCAGTGTGAGTTGTAGGGTTCACGCAAGCAAGTTCAGCAGCTTTAAGCATCGAAGCTTCAGCAAGGTCAGGATGTAGATAGCATGCCACACTAAAAAGGGTCACCAAAGCCGATTCAATCTACTCCAGGGCCAAGAGTTTGTCTACCTGAAAGGCCTAATAAGGGAACTGCGCTGAAGACACCGTATACACCTCAAATGTGACTGTTACTAGAGCCAAGAAACCACATGATGGGGAGGATTTGCTGTTCGGATCCACTGCGCCGTCGGAATCCGGTCATACGATGTACACCGCGACGCGCGAGAGACGTGAAGGCAAAGCCATAACGAGTCAACGGGCGAACGCTACGGCGTACGGCGTACGGTGGTACGGGGTGGACCCGACCACCTCGAGCGGACAAACAACGAATCGCAGTGGGATCCAGCAATCATTTGGATGTTGCATGTTGGACAGACAGGTTCCTGGTTTTGCTTAAGGTAATTGTTTACTTTCCACATGGATGAATCCTCTTCTGAGGAATATTGAGGAATATTGTTTGTTCCCCGTTCCTTCAGCGAATCCAAGGGTTTCTTTGCAACCTTTGTCTTGCTCACTCAAAGAGATCGAAGGAAAACCCGACCATTCGTCGACCATCGTGGCACGAGCCGGGCGGAGGTGAAAGCAGCAGAGGATTTGGGTTGGATAGCCATGGACACTGGCACCTACACGATTGAATCCAGCATAGGCGGGGGCCGGGGCGTCGGTCAGGCTGTGCTTTTGTTAGATCTTCAGTGCAGTGTTCACAGGGAGCTAGTGCAGAACAGACGACTCATCGCTGACATGACGTGATGTTCGATCCGTTTCATCAGGTTTATTCACAAAAAAGAAAAACACTGCAGATGGTAATGGATCACACCTGGACGCAACACACGACCCGGCACACCGCACCACGACACACCGCACCTCGACACCGCACCTCGCGGTGTTGCAGGTGCCGTGACCTTGGCGGCCAGTCGTTCCACGCGAAGCGTCAAGGGCTGGGGCACTGGTGCAGATGTCAGCTTCGGCGCCACTGGGTGAGAGGTAATCGCTGGAGGTTTCGGCCAATAGGATCGCATGGAGGTCCTTTGAGAGGCTATAGCTTCTGAAGCTAATGGAAAAAAAGGAATGAGCAGGACAGACAGTCATCCCAAGCAAGTAGAAACAACATGCAACAACAATTCTCTGGTAAGATCAAACCCCCATGCCATGATGCCTTCCCCTGTTTTTTCTTCTTTGGACGCCCAAAAGGAGTCTTCTGAGAGTGGTGCGTCGGATTTCAGCAGTCAAATCATGGGTGTTTCGAGGAATCACGAGAATACCTATAGATCTTGCAACTTTTTACCTATGTCTTTATAGATCAAAAGAATTTAAAAAGGCGGACATGTTGCACAGTGGAAAGATCTATAGTATCTAAATAGCTGTGTGAGTTCGAAGTCCAGCCGCAGACCGCCCAGGCGAGCCTCGGAGCCTCCCCATTGGTCATTTCGAGTCAAAACTCCAGGCTGCGCCCACGCGGTTTCTTTCACCGGTCGTCCAGCCGTGCGACGGGGGGACGATGGGGACGGGTCAGCCCGAAAATGAGGCTCGAGGATGGAGGTGAAAACGGTGCAATGGGGGTAGGAAGAAAACAGGGGCGTCTGCGTGCACCCAGAAAGGTACAGGCATCCCCATGGGTTTGGGCGTTGTTTGGCGTCTGCCGTTTTTCGTCCTGTTTCCTTTGACTGGGCGTGCACAAACATTCAAGTTCAATGTTGACTCGGAGCCTTATGAATGATCAATTTAAATACCAGCAGTCACAAGACGGGGTGCTATCCATGGAGGTTTGGGGTGCCCAGAACATCCACTCAATTAGGGACTAAAAACCTTTGTGACCCCTGGTATATTCTCACCATCACCACCATCCACTGCATCTGAGGGTCAGGACTTTGCCTCCTACCTGCGACCTCCGAATTCCAAGTGACCATCCTTCATTACCGGCGTTTGTTCACCCACGTACCTGCAACCTCCGTTCGATGGGTCACCCTACAAATGGCTCGCGTTCCAGAGGCACCGAAGAAAGACAAGAACGCATGCCTGGAAACCCAAACAATCAGAAACCAATACGCTCGGAACGCTTTGTTATGTCAAAGATCTATCGGATGCCAGGTTCGGAGCTGATGGGGGCTGGGCCAGAATCACAGCGGTTTGGAAGGGCCGGGCTCATGTGGAGATCGATGAGGATCAGGCTTGTGATAAAGAACGCACACATCCGGCAGAGAGAGTGAGCTTATTTGGGGCCTCCGGGCCCTGTGTTTTCTAGGATCAAGTTTAAATCTGCATAGCCATAGCCCTGGAAGAAGTGTCGCGAAAGCAGGGCCAGTCGAGCTCCCGTGCCTTTGTAGAGCGCCAGAATTGGCTGGGCACGCTGAACTCGCCACGTGCATGGCATCATGATAGTATAGCCACTGCATGCAAGGGCAAGCTGGTGTGCAGTACAGTACACCAATCAGAATGTTCAGGCTAGTCCTTGTAGGATGCAGCTGGAGAGACCGAATTCACAGGCTTATCGCTGTCAAAGTCGCAGGATCTGCCGAAGTCCAAATGATCGAGAATAACGAATCAAGGCCTCCGCATCCGACAAAAGGCGAAAAAGGCGACCGGGAGAGAGGCGACCAGTTGGGGGTCGGGAGATCCAAAGGTTCTGGAAGGCAATGTGAAACCTTGGTGACTTTGCTGACTTTGCCTGGTCTGGTTTTTCCCTGCTCTACTGTGTTTCTACCGATTGGGGCAAGGTGGGAGGGTGTGTGTTTCTACCGACGGCCCTCCACACTTGGTCTCAAATCCCCTGGGCTGACGGGTTCAAACTGACCCGAGGTCTTCCGCTTGACCAGGTCTTCCGCTCCGAGTGTAGGATCCGTGCTATGAAGGAAGCGGTGTGGTAGACGGTAACCGAAGTTTCTGAATAGTACAGTGAGACAAACCGCGTGAACGGCAAGCAAACCTGATCAATCAAGCAAGCAAGCAAACAAAGATACAAACATCAAGCAACCACCACCACCACAACAACAACAACCACCACAACAACAAAACAACAAAACAACGCTCTAGGACCTTCCCAGTGACCTTTTCAGGATCAGTAATGTGGCCCTCAGATTTATAAACCCCCCTAGAATAATGTTTTTTTCCCTGCACTGATGTATAAAGGCCCCTAGAATAATGTCTTTTTTGGGGGGGAGGGGTAGTTGTAGTGGAATATTTTTTATTGTTATAGTTTACTTATTTAATTATCAATTGATTGATTTTCTTATACATTATTTTGGAGGCCTTGGTTGTTGAGGGGGGGTTATAAATCAAGGGACTACATTAAGTGATCTCATTCTCGGATCGCAAGTTCCTTTTTGCTGCGCTTTCCCCGCTCTTAAACTCTTAGAGTGGGGCCGGTCCAGCGCCTCCCCACTGAGGTGCTCGCCACGTCCCTCCGCGTGGAACTGTGGGCGGAGGTCGCAGCCGGGCTGCGGGGCTGCGGGGTAAGCGGTGGAACTGTCGCACCCAGACACATTGTCAGCCTGAAATCAGGTCTGTTGCGCTTGAGAAGAAGAGCACTAGCCACTAGCCGCTAGCCGCACGTGCGGAAAACCCCTCAAAAAATAGATCGAGATGAAACACAGCTGAATCTCCGGTAAAGATGGGTTGTTACATGTTGTTACTGTTCCAAAGGTTTTGGATGTGCACAGGTCAAGATTGTGAGTTGACAACCGTATAACCCATCCGGGGACGACGAAGCGTCCGTCCGGGCATCTCCGGACAGAACAAAATCCAGAGCCGGCAGCGAGGAGAACCACCATGTCGATGTGATTCGCCGGGCCTTTTGAGGTCTTTAAGAGTTCCATTAGATTTGTACCAATCTGGGTGTCCTAAACCTGGAAGTCCCTGAGGTGTAGTGAGTGGGCCAGGATGGGGCATCCAGCTTTCCAAATTTCCAGCTCACGGGTCACGGCACTGTGCTTGTGCTTGCGCCTTCCCTCAGCTGCATGGCGCTCCAAAATGCCATCAGTCGTGGACACCGCAGTCGTTCACCCCCCACTTCGACGGAACACCCTGAAGGGCCACTGGAGTCGTATGAGGCTTGGCTCATCGCCCGGGGCGTCACCTGGGATGCACGGCTGCGGCTGCAGCGAGATGACCTGACCGGCTGGGGCTTGAGCTGTACGAGGCGGATCGAGCGGAATGAAAAGGCCTTGATCCAGGTGCCTCCAAGTCGTCGCTATAAGATCGCACTATGATCTCGCATGTTTTAAATATTGGATGGATTTGGGGTTGTGGAGTACTGTATTGTATATCTTCAAAAAGAATAGAAGTTGGTCGGACATGGTGGTTGTTTTTTCCATTTCGTTGACCAAAGAACCCTCGTTCGCCTGCGCCACGTCGGCCGAGTTGGCCGAGGTGCCGAGGTCTGCGGCCCTCACCAGCAGCGCCCGGATCGACGCTTTGGGCCGATCGGTGATGGAGCTCTTGCGGGGCAAGCTGGATGACTTGGCAGGATGACTTGGCAGGGCGTTTTTGTTGAAAACAGGGAGACCTCCCAAAGACGAGCCCCTGGAAGAAGGAAAAGAGACCAGTCTACTTATAAGAGACCTCCCTATTGAATTACACACCCTGGTGAAGTGATTGAAGGGTCGGCAAAAGATGATCACTTTTCTTTAAAGGCCTGCAACCTAACCATCATCATGGACTGGGCTCTGGTAATGGGGTGTGGCTGTAGGCCAAGACCAAGGGACCCTGGTAAGTGAATAGACGAATAGACTACTGGGCAGGTCAACCTAGCACGGTGAAACAGGCTCCAGGTTTTTGACCCACTATATACCCCAGGTGACTTGGTGTTTTCAACACCAATGGCATTTTTGAACCAGTGAGTCAGTAAGCGTTGGAGATTGCTTTGGGTCGCTCTCTGTGTATTCTCCTCCCCCAAAACCATGCTCATGGAGTGGTGCAAACTGCGGAGCGACTCGGCGACCGAAGCAAATGACGCCAAAACAGCCTTCAATGATTTCATCATACTTCATATATCTTCACATGGTTTTGTAACATGTCCAAAAGAGAGGACGCTGGCCGCACTGACCTCCAGTGCCCTGGCAGGATTTGATGAAACTCGTGACTCCCAGTTGCCTTTGGCCTTAGCCTTCATGTTGGCCGATGAGTCCTGGTCTCCGAAGTTGCGACAAGTGACTCCGCAACACTGCGATCTTGCATGGAACTGGACCTCCGCCAAGGCACCGGCTCTGCTGTCCGGGACAGAGCTGGAGAAGATCGTTTTGGCCAAGCAACGGCGTGTGCAAGAGGAGTTCCATCGGTTGGAGCCCATTTTGGGACCGCACAGGAGAAGGGAGCGTGATTTGTCTTTTGGATCTGCTAATGTAGGGAGGAAAGAGAGGGTTCCTGATGTTTGTCAATTTGGACAGACCCTAGAAACACCGGAAGGAGTTTGGCCACCCAATCGCTGCTTGAAAAACAAACACGACACCTAAAAGCCCCCCTGGCAGGAGCTTGGAGCAATACACCAGTGCTTGTGCAGTGATCATGTCAAGAATCCAACCCTGGTGGGGTGGAAGCTTGGTTCCTTTCGTGGACCAGGCCAATCACCACCGCGAGCCGCATCTGGAGTTCCGGCTGCGGCGGGGCCAAGTCTCAGCGCGGGCTCTGCGGGTCATCGAGCCAGGGGAAGTCTTTCAATCCTACGGAGAGCTCTCAACGGCAGATTCGTTGTATCGAGACTTGCCTGAAAAACCATTAGGAACAAGAAGCTACTAGGTGGAGGCCATCGCTACTATAGTAACAAGAAGCTACTAGTAGCGATGCAATGGAGTTGAACTGAACCTTCTCATGCAGGGCGCGACTTGGAGCCACCATGTGTTTACCAAAGGAGATCATCCTAGTGCTGGAAGTCGTCCTTTCTGGAGATGTGTCATCCAGCTATGTCGATTGACCCATGTTTTTCTCTAGGGTCGTGGCCGTGATCTGTTTGATTCATGTGGTGTGATCTTCTGGGGGTCCTCAAATCGCAGGACTCTCCCAGGTGGTGAAGATCCAACCTGGAAAGACCAACAACCAGAAACCGCAATTGACATCCTTTACATAGGAAGCGGCGGTTTGAGGAACATCCATTGTTTCTCGTTGGGACGGGACTTGGATTCTCGCCAAGCTTGGGCACGGAAGCTTGGTTCGTTTCGGTCGGCAGGGACGATCTTTCGAAACAAATCTCCCATCCAAGTGATCATGAGAATCTTTCCAACATGTGGATCATCATCCAGTCAGGATCAACAATTAAATTGTCACTTCGTTCGGTCTCCCACTCCTGCCCAGGATACGGCTTCACCGAGCCTGCCGGCCGAGCCGCCGACATCGGCGTGTCCTTCGCGGACGTCGTCACGATCGACGCGTCCGCTCTGGCGGCCGCGGAGGAACATCTGGCGGAGCGGGCGGAGCAGCTGAAAGCATTGGAGTTCTTGGAGGAAAGCCCTTGGGATGGCCTTCAGGACAGAGATGATCATTTGGGGATGTGTTGTTCTCAACAGAAGATTTAGTTGGTTGGTTCTGAGTTTCAATCAGAGCCACTGATGTGTTTTTGCATTTGCCAACTTTCACATGGTACTTAATTACCACAATCTCGAGTCCCACTGGCAGGTGCAGAGCTCACGTCTTCTGAGAACACCCTGTATAGAGAAACCTCCAGGGTCATCTCAGACTCTACCTGAGAGTATTGTCTAGGAAAAGAAGGGGGAACAATACCTTATGGCGTACCAGTTACCAGCCGACTCGTTGGGTTTATTATATCTTTTCTGGAGCGTGGTTGGATGCGCCCCACACTTGGGTAGCAAATCAAAATCTTGGGCCGCCCATGATTTGCCACCCAAGCATCCAAACACCCATGTGGGTTTGTCTCAAACCTGGAGGTTTGCTTTCAGCTTTGCTTTTTGCTGCAGACCATTGCTATTAGGTTGGAGGCCACCGCTCTTAGGTTGGAGGCCATCGCTTTTGGGTTGGAGGCCATCGCTTTTGGGTTGGAGGCCATCGCTCTTAGGTTGGAGGCCATCGCTATTAGGATGGAGGCCATCGCTATTAGCGTCCAATTAGAATTAATTAGGCACCTTTTCCAATGTTCTTCTCCATGGGTGGTGCATTTTTCGCTGGACCTGTTGAAGGAAGAACTCCGGCACAGTGAGATTCTCTGAAGACGAGTGGTACAGAAATTATTGCTAAGGTCCCTCTTGTTTTTTGCCTGGAACCCCACACGCCCAGGGAGGCAACATGTTCTTACATGGTAGTTCAGTTCAGTGACTTTACTTCAAAAGATGTAAAAAGTCAAGTGACTGTTGGTGTCAACTCTGGATGTTTGTGCGAACGGTATTTTTCGATCTCTTCCTTCCGCTTCAGGACTTGGGCGTGGAGCTTTCCCTCAGCCGCCGCCCGAAGGCTGCTGCCGGTGGCATCAAGGGCTTGCGGCGCCTTTGGGCTATTTGCAGTTGCGCCATGCTGAATGACACCATCTGGCGAGAGGCGTTGGCCACAGCCAAGCCCAAGGAAGCCTTGGTGGCATTGGGGGCTTCGCCAAAGCCAGGTCAGAGATGAAAGATCAAGCTGAATAATGTTTTTTGTGTTTGTGGCCAACATAGATTGTGTGCAATGACCTGATATGAAAGTGATGGGTCGTGTTTCTGTGGCTAGCTTGTGTTCAAGCGACCTGCCCATCTCTCGTGATGGGCTTTAAAAATGGCTTGCAGAATACTCCGGTGAAAACCAACATGCACCGGGTGCTATTTCACATGGGCCGCTTGAAAGGTTGACTTTTTGGGGAAACTTCTTCGTCAAATCAGACTTACCAACGAGGCTAAATGCGGCCATCGTTCTGCCATCGTTGGTTACGTTAAAGAGCTTTAAAACATATGCAAAACGAAGCATGGTATATCATGGTGCGATTTTTCTTGTGGGCATGTCTTAGTCTTCAACCGTGAGGGCTGTTTCGCTCAGAATGGGAGGTTGGCAAACTTCTTCCCTGCTACAAACAGGATTCGACCGATCCCCAGAGCCTGATTTGGTCGGCGAACACACCCCACATTGGGATATTATATTGTTTTGTTCAGGGTTAGGGCTTCATATCCCGTTGGACGGCTTTTCCTTTTTTGGGCGTTGATGATGCCTTATGCGTCTCTGGGGGTCATAGATGTGATTCTGAAGCTAAGCCTTGACCAGTCCGCAAGGGGCTTCAATCGAGGCCCTAACCTCACCGTTGGTTGTTTCAGCAGGATCATAAAAGTAACAGCACTGAGCTGCATTTCGCTATTCCATGCGGTTCCCACTCGCAGGTGTCGATTGGCAGCCTGACTCATCGGCTTTGAAGCTTTGCATCCGAGCGCTTGAAGCGCGCAGCAGGCGTTTGGGAAGTGTGGAAGAGGAAGAACGCTCATACGACGTTGCGGTGAAAGATCAAGTAGAGACCATCCATTTGGGACTGCAGAGGCTACGTGTTGTGGAAGCTCGGCTGTTGGAACGAGTCTTGCACTATGTTCGAGGACTGGTCCACGCGCAAGCTGGGGAAGCTCGGTTCGGAGCTCCGCACAGATGAACCGGCGAAGAACGTGATGAAAAGAACCACTCGGTCCGGATCATCATGTTCCGGATCTTCTAGACTCAGAAACGGCACCTGATCACAGGTGAACACCTTCTCCTGCTTGGACCCTGGGCGAGGCTGTTGGCGACCTTAGACCGAGTCGGGCAGACCTGCGCAGCGGGTGATCGCGAAGAACACTGATGAACACTGCTTGGCCCCTGGTGGGGGGTCGCAGGCTTTTTGGGCGTCTACACGAAGATGGTGACTTCGCCGTCTTCTTGAAGTCCTGGAGTGGCTGGGAGTCGAAGAGTCTTCGTGGCTGGTAGAGGTTTTGGACCATGAAATGACCCTGAAATATATAGCCATTCACACACAACAGTCCTTGGTACATTTTGTGTTCATGGCCTTCTTCCTGGATCCGAAAATGTTCTTCATGGCCTGAACTCCAAGATGCTTGGAATGTGGTCTTTGGCCTTAGCTGCAATTCGGCAGCTGTGCAGAAGATAGAAGGCAAAAGACCAGATTGTTCAGGCAGTGGGGACGCATTTCCCCTTTGACCAGTTTGTGCGCACCGAGTCGCTTCTCCCGTGGCGGATGCAGTCGGACCCACCTCGTTTCACGATTAGACACAGAGATTCGCCTGGCGATTCATGAAGGGGCGATTCACCTGTGGCGGCCGAATTAGAGGCGAAAACAGGTGCAGACTTCTGACCGTGACACCGGACTGTGAACGTTTGATCAAGAAGTGTGAGAGTCATTCAGAATTGATGTTGAAAGACATCCATTTCTAGAACGGCTTGAAGAAGAAAAGTCCATGGCGATGATCGGCAGCTTTGACTGCCCTGTCTTCATTTTAATTGGTCTCTTCGCGACTGATACATATGATTCTGCCGGAGGTTTTGGAGCGATTAGGCTGGGACAGTTGATCATATTGGTGCCAAGTTCACTGCAAAGACCTTCCTTCCGCAAGTGTCCTTGGCCACTGCAGAATCTGTTCCATTCATGCAAGGGTCTTGGAGGAGGGAAGGGGCACCAAGCTGGGCCAAGCAGACGTGGAGAGAGACTGAGATGCAGTTTGGATTCCCCTGCAGGCCGCTGTCAGAGGGCAGCGACCACAACATCTTGCTGTGGCAGTCAACACATCGATGCTTCGAAGGCCTGTAGTTCGTGGGGGTCGGAAGGAGAATGGAAGGTTTAATGGGAATCGATCGTTGCAAAGCGAAACCTTCAGGTGCCATCACTTTGCCCATCCAAATTCAGATAGTCATCACAAAAGAAGATGCAGAGCCGCCTTGGCTTAGAGGACACATGTCGTTCTTTCAGTCCTCCCGCCCCAGTTTTTGGGGAGCAGATATTGAATCAGTAACCCCAATGGAATGCTCGGGAGACATGGTTGCCCGCCCCATGGTTGCCGCAATCAAAGCCGCAAGTGCTTCTCTGTAAGGAGCAGGTCCTTTTCGCCGAACGAGGCATTCGATGTCATCCACCGTTGGCAGAACGAGGCATTGAGAATGCTTTGCTCCTTGACTCATGGCTCGAGGACAAAGAAGTCGAATAAATATGCACAAGGTGAATATATTCTTTGATGTAGATTGCTTTACTCTCAAATGTCAGGTTCACAGAACATCTATCACCTAAAGTAATTGAAACACCTCATGACTAAAAATGATTAGATACTATTATATAAACATGATTTAAGAACCCAAGCGTTGGAGCGCAGATCTGGTTTTTGGAGTCAATTGTCATGTCTTTGCATGTCCTTGCAATCACCAGCATCCATCAGCATCGGCAGTGCCATGGAGCCTGCGGAAGCTGCGAGCGAGTGCGCCGACTCGGAGGAGGCCAGGCTTGAATATATGGTGAGCTACCCTTGCTGAGTTGCCAAGAACGGATGTTTGCAGTGCCAAAACACGATGGTTGGGTTGCCTTGGGTTTTTGTCAGTGTTTTGGTGTTTTAGGGTTTGCAATGACGAGGGTTTACATCTACAAAATGCAATTCCCGTAGTCATTCCATAGTGGGGTAGCATGGGTGTGGAACATCTAGAAGCTGCGTTTTTGAGATATTATAGAAGCAATCTCTACCTATATAGATCATTGAAGATAAGAAACTGGAACAACATGTCACAGAGTGCTTTAGTGCTTTCTGTGGAGAGTCTTGAAACGTCGGTTGATGAAGTGGAATCCAGCTTATAGTAAAAACCCGTGTGGCGCATTCTGAGCATATTCTCCTGGAAGATCATTCCCAGCATGTTCCAAGCTTTGGACTATTGCAGGTCTGTTAGATTGTCATTTTATAGATTAAATATTGTTCAATGATTTATCCTTTACAAGTTTGCTTTGGCCATTTCATAGGCTGTGTGTTCCACATTCAACGTTTGCTTAACTTAAGGTTGCATGTCTCGTTTTATGGTTTGAACTGGTGTTGACGTTGAGACATCCATTCCATGGGCTTGTTTTTTTTTTAATAGAATGCCTTGCGCACCCTTGGATATTTCGGGTGGTCTTCTGTTGATTCTTTGACTTGTTCGTTCCTTTATTGGATTTGTTGATCTCAACATATCTCAACGAACAACCCAGTTTCAGAGCTTTCCTGAGCGGTTCATTGGCCTCAACACCGGTTAATTGAATTGGACTATATATGTATATGTCTTAGATAATTTATTGACGTTTGCACGTGTTCTTTTTGGATCCTAAAGATCATTCCCAAGGATCGTCATGTGTTTTCGTTGCACCACCAGACCATACCAGACCACCGTGTTCAGTGCATGCGATCGTCCCGACCCGTCGGCTCTGAGATACGCCTTTTCCATGCCTCCGCCGGCAATGGTCAGTGGCCGGAGCCTTTTCCGCGCAATGGAGAGACACGTCTATCCATCCAACTGTACTTGCTGGTTTTTCAGGCGCTTAGGGGCTTGGGAAGACCTTCTCGTTCCTTGTCCAGCCAAGGAGCATAGCACAAGAAATCATTCATTGATTCATATTGTCCATATTGTCTCTTGATTCATTGACATGTCCCCCCTTTTCCGGAGATCGCCTTCAAGTCTGCATTTGGGTCCTGACTTGTCTCCAAATGTTTGAAGTCAATTTGCAGTTTCCCGGACATAGCGGGTCTTTGAGCCGACCGAGGAGGTCTTTGGATGCTCATGGCTGCTCCCTGATTGGGCACTCCTTTTTGCACGCTCCAGCGTCCCTTAGGTTTGCAGTTCTTTTTTGGTGAGACGATTAAGTTCATAAATTGTAATAACAAATCTATACGTAGAAGTGAACTTCATCGCTTTGTTGATGACCTACTCGTACTCCAATGAACGACGTTTCGGATTCAGGACGTTGCCCAAGGCTGAAAATGGACTAACCCGTCATGCTCCGATGCTCCTCAGGTTGCGGTATTTTTGTCCATCACGTTGGTGCTGGATGGGCTCACGACGAAAGATGGTGCTCGGATGGATGTTAAAGAACGGTCACCGGGAATCTGACGGCATGGGAGACCGGCAGGGGGGACCATTATGTAATATATTAGAAGTTGCCAGCCTTTCTGACCACCAAGGAATCAGCCTGACACATTTCAAAGGTGGTCGTTAGGGTCTGGGTGGGCCTCTTTGCCTGTCAGCTTCAAACATACAC